CCAGAATATTTTCATTATCCCCAAAAGAAACTCCTTGCCCCATTAGCAGTTACTCTCCTCCCCCATTCCATAAAGATTCATAGCCTTGGAAACCCTGTGGGGCAGTTTTGCTGTACTCTGTGGGATCTCTGTGAGTCTGAATTTGTTTTGTTTGGGTTTTGAACAAGTTCACATTTCTTCCAGTTTCCCCAGCCTGGTACTGCTCTAACTCATAAAAGCCTCAATGCACCTAGACTTCGTCTAACTCACTGCTCTGCCAACTTCAGAAGGTAACCCTGTGCATTCTCAAGGTCTGTGTTGGCTTTATCCACTTCTCAGCAGTGGCAGAATGGAGGAAGGGACAAAGAGGAAGAGAAGCAAAGAGTGGGATCTTTGAAGGCAGGTACCCCGAGGCTGTCACGGGGCACTTCCACATATGCACTAGGACTTAGTTACAACATGAATAGGGTTTTGAGGCAAGAGTCCTGAGAATAAACAGTTGTTTGCTGTCTTTTGGCAAGTTGTAACAAGTCTGTGCGCTGAAATGTGTTTTGTTTTGTTTTTCTGAAGGTTTCTGAGTAAAGTTAGTTGCAACTTAATATGTTTCTGAGCCTGAGTTTTCTGGAATAGTAAAGTCAGGATAATGAAGACAGTTGGAAAGAGTAGTCATTTTTATTCACATGGTAAGCTATGTGAGCAAATAGTTTTGGTTCTCAATACCTATATTCTTAGGACTTGCATTGTGTATGGCACATGGTAAACCAAACCCAACCCTTTGTCATTTTGTTGATCCCAACTCAGTGACCATGTTTTTTGTTGTTGTTAAGTGCCATTGAGTCACTACCAACTCAGAGCGACCCTGTATAGGGTTTCTGAGGAGTGGCTTATAAGCTTGAACCACCAGCCTCGCAGTTCAAATTGACCTTGCAGTCCAGCTCATTAACCCACAGCACCACACCAAGACTCCATATAGGACAGAATAAAATTGTTCTTTAGGATTTCCAAGACTATAAATCTTCATAGGAGCTCTTGCAGAATGACTGATGGGTGTGAACCACCACCCTTGGGATTAGCAGCCCAATACTGAACCCACCATGCCACCAGGACTCCTTGGCACATGATAAGTACTTAGTAAATGTTTGTTGTTCTTGTTAAATGCCATTGAGTCAGTTCCTACTCACAGCGGCTCCGTATAGGGTTTCTGAGGAGTGGCTGGTGAGTGTGAATTTGTGGTTCAAACCGACCTTGCAATTCAGTGCTTATCCTATAGCACCATACCAGGACTATACTGGGCAATATAATAAATGTTTTCTATGCATTATCACATTTAACCCTCTGGACAGGCTTCTTTTTTTTTTTTTTTTTTTAATTGTGATTTGAGTGATAGTTTATATGGGAGAACATTGGTTTTACACTCATCATTACATTGCAATGATAACAGCCCCTCCATGCATCGTCACTCAACAGTATTTACATCTATTCCTTTTTTTTTTTTTGGATGTACACAAAAACACTCAGGAATATAATAATTTAAACAACTAAAAGGCGCATTCTGCAAGCTTGCCTCCTCGCCGCCAGCACACAGCCTTTCTCTTTCCATGAGTCCAGAGTCCTCTATCTCTCCATGTCTTCATCTCTGCCTCTATCTCTGGTGTCGCTGCTTCTCTGGATAGGGTCCACATTCCACTCATGCTCTCGTCCCTTGATAGCCCTGGGGTCCTCTGTTTCTGGAATGTAAGATTAACTACTCCCCCTTTCTTCTACCTGTATAGTTGTGGCTGTCTCAATTAGTCATAGCAATTGCTCATTCACTATTGAATCATAAGAATCTTATCCCCATCTTGGACAGCCTTTTGAAGTCACTATAGTTATTATCTGTATATTACAGAGTAGGAAACTGGATCTTAGATTCGTTTTTGTGGACTTATTAAATAAATATTGTTTATTCAGGACTCATTTTGTGTGGGTACGTAGTATTAGGGATATTGTTGTGTTGTTGTGTGCTGAGACAATTCCCGCTCATAGTGACCCTGTGAAACAAAGTAGAACAGCCCCATGGGGTTTTCTTGGCTATAAATCTTTTGTCTTGTGGAGACACTGGTTGGTTAGTAACTGAGTACTTAAGCCATTGTACTACTTGGACTGCTTACTAGGGATTTGTTGGTGTTGTTAAGTGCTGTCGAGTTGGTTCTGACCCATAGCGACTCTGTATGGGGTTTCCAAGGAGTGGCTGGTAAACTTGAACCACAACCTTGCGTTTCAAACTGACTCTGCAGCCCCACACATTAACCCATAGCGCCACACCACTGGAGATATATTGTTGCTGTGAAGTGCCTTTGAGTTGGTTCTGACCCATAGTGACACTGTATAGGGTTTCCGAGGAGCAGCTGGGTAAGCTTGAACCGCCAACCTTGCAGTTCAAACGTCTTTGGAGTCTGGCACATTAAGCCACAGTGCCACACCAGGACTCCTGGGGATCTAGCAGGATGTAAAACATGGCCAAACCCTTGCCTTTGTAGATCATTCTAATTACTTTTCTAAAATTGCATAAATTATGGTTAAGTGCCTTCGAGTCAGTTCTGACTCAGAGCAGCCTTGTATAGGGTTTCCAAACAGTGGCTGGTGGGTTTGAACTACTGACCTTGCAGTTGGCAGTCCAGTGCTTATCCTACAGTGCCACACCAGACTCTAGATAATGGATAGAGGATGGCATTTAAACTTAGGCACAGTGGAGTCTTCCACAGTCCACAATCATAGTCGTTGATTGGTAGATCAATGAATGGACTTACAGCAGTGAGCAAAAACTTTACAAAGGTTTCACAGATAACTTCATCGCCCTTTAGCTATGACTAAACTACAACCAACTATATTTGGTTGCCCTGTTTTAATCTCTTTTCTAATGATTTTGGAGTATTCAGTAAGGGAACCTTAGATTATACTACAATGCCTCCGGCTGTCAAACCTTAGATCAGACTACAATGCTTCTGGTTCGCAGTTGGTATAAATGTGTCCTTGTTCATATATTCATAGCTAGAAATAGAAATAGGAAAGGTGAATAAGGACATGCTCCAGAATGTCAAAAAGATCAGGTTCTGATTCAGAAGTACTTTAGATATTGACGTACTGCCTAAAGTCATGTCAGTTGTGCTAGGCAAAGTGTGTACCTGGAGTTCTAGGAACACAGAGAGGGATTATGAAGTCAGGGATAGTGTGGCCTCAAAAGAGCAGAGCAGGAACATCAAAATATGCATCCCCAGTTTTATTACTTTTAATGTATTAACATTTTATTCACACTCATTTAGACTCTTTTTTCAGCAATCAGAATGAACAGATAAAGATTTAAAAAGCAGTAACTTTCCTGTTATGTGATTCAGTGTTCCTTAATGCAGTGCAGGCACCAACTAAAATCTCATGTACCACCACCAGTGGTACACATGTCTCACTTAGGGAATACATGTAAAAGGAAGGTGCTGGACATAGGAGATCTAGGTTCTAGTCCTGGTTTTGGCATCATCAGACCATGGAGTCACTCAGGTTTCCTCTTTGGTATATTTTTCTTTCATAAAATGTAATGGAATTGACTCTTGAAAGATAATGGAGTGAACATGTATCAGCAGCATGCTTGGATATATATGTGTACCTAAATATTACACATAAAGTAGCTTTTGACAGAAGTCCTCTGGGTACATGAAACATGGGCCCCAGCAGAATGTGGAAATGTGTAGGAAAGTGCATGCCATTTGAGGAACTCACAAAGGTGGCTATAAAAACTGTACTAGTACAGCAGAGCATTAGACATGGTCAGTTAGGGCCTTGGAGACCATTTCAGATAAGTGTCTGTCTGGCCTTGTAGAATAGGTGGTGGGGGCCAGGAATGCTCCTCCCAAGTGAAAATTAATAACCCAGCAGGTTTTGAATCCTGGTGCAGGCTGTGCAGTGAGCTGTGCAGGATTCCAACTGGCTCCCACATTACCCCACTAATTCACGGAAGATGGAGCATTTGTAGATGCTGGATTGAATTTTCTATCCTGAAATGACCTGTTAGGAAGACTCCTTTACTGACTTACCACCTCCAAAGTGCTGAATGTTTGAACAGGGATGCAGAGAACCATCTGAAGGTATAAATGATTTCCACAGTATTTGGTGTTTCCTATCTAGATGGATATTTTTTTCCCTCCCTGTGCCCACCTCCCACCAGCTGCTCTTTTTTTCCTCCTCTAGATATTTCATAACAAGTGAGAGAAGGAAGAATAAGCACTGATGTTCTTCATGTTCTTCCTAACACCTGCCCTCCTCCCAGCCAACTCTCGCTCACTCACAGTATAAAAACAGATTTGAACAGCTTATTTTTTCTTGGGTCTGCTCTGGTCTCCTATATATACATATATGTGTGTGTGTGTGTATTTTGGGGGTGAGGAGTCAAAACCATTTTCAGAAGATCTGTGGGTACTTGTACTTTGCTTGATGCTGGTATAGAAGGGTGCGCTCCTGGGTAAACAGACATATAGGAAGGACAGAAGTAGCATGACAAATTTACTTTGGGATAGAAATGGAAGTCTTAGTAGTTTGCGAATGTTTCTTCATGGTCTGGCAAGGAAGCCAAAGGGAGTGGGCCTTGATGTAGGATCTATGGGTGGGGGGGTTGCAGGGGACAGATTCCTCACAAACTGGAGGGTCCCCTCCTTATTTTATTCTTGCGATAGGTTCTAAAGAACTTCATCAGGGGAAATCAAAAGAGACCACAAAAGTGGAGCCCAGCGCCTAACATTTGTTTGATGGAAGAAAAAAAGGTGCATGAAGCAATCCTGACAGTTTGAGAGTGGCTGGTCCATTGTATGGACTTGAACCTTGGTTGGCAGTGTTGACCCTTACAGAAAGAGCCACCCCTTCTTCTGCAGTTGCCCCCCTGTATGATGGCCAGACTGCAGCCATGCAAGAAAGAGAGATTGTACATCTCATCTTCCTGAGAGGACCTCTTAAACTCTGTTTATTAATATATTCCACTTCTTTCCCTTCTACAGATGGATCTGTCTGTAGAAACCCTCTTTAGCTTCATGCAGGAGCGCCAGAAAAGATATGCCAAATATGCGGAGCAGATCCAGAAAGTCAATGAGATGTCTGCCATCCTCCGCCGCATACAGATGGGCATTGACCAGACTGTACCCTTGATGGAAAGGCTCAACGGCATGCTGCCTGAAAGTGAGAGGCTGGAGCCCTTCAGCATGAAACCAGACCGAGAGCTAAAGCTATAGAGCTGTGTCTCCCACCCTACCCAGCAGGCTACTGTTCTGTGTGACAGAGCCTGGCACCATCACCCAAACCCTGAGGACATTTGGAACCAGAGTCATGTGGTATGGCCAGGATTTAAAGCTGGGTGGAGGTATCGGTACTCCCTGAAGTGGATGCGAAGCAGTCCGCTGGTCTGAAAACTCAGACTCTGCGCTAAATCGTTTCCCTGATGTGTTTCCTCGTGTAAAATGAACCAAATAACTGAAGTTGGAACATTCAAATTATTAGGGATTCTTTACAGAACTCAGCATTAGGCATTATTTTTATTTTGCTTAGTTTTTTAAAAATTGAGAATGTATCATCTAGTGTATCTAGTTGAGTGAAACATGAAGAGAAAGAGAATTATTTTAAGAAGCTCTATGTAGCCTTGATGCCTTCATGAAATTTTACTCACATGGCTCTCTAGGCTTTGGGTTATAAACATAAAGAACTAATTTAATCTGGGTCTGTGTATTGTTATTATTCCAACCCTGACTAGTTGTATCACAGCAGGTGTTTACCTGGGATACCGTCCTCCTGCCCGGATAAAACACTGGTATGTTTGTTGGGTGCCAGGTGATGAGCCCCTCAGATGTTGTCCTCAGGAAATTGAAGACTCCTTTCTACTCCCTCATCTGGGTCATCTTCCATAGTAGCTGGTTTTGGTCTGGGAATACAAATATATAGCTTCTGCCTTTCTTTACTGAAGACAGAAAAATTTCAAACACCGTTGGATTTCTGTGGGAGTTTGGGAAATAAGGCAATTTGAATAACTATACAAGTACTTTGTGCAGTACTTTTCACATCATAACTGTTCTAAAAGAAAAAAGGATTCAATGCAAAAAAAACCCCAAACAAATCATGAACAAACAAGGAATCTAGACAGATGAATTGAGATAGAGCTGGCATAAAAGGAAGTTGCTGATGCTGAGACATCATCAGGCCTCTACCTTGCGCTCTTTATTCCTCCAAAACTCATAAGATGTTCTGTTCAGGTCAAAAACAGCCCTCCCTCAGTGTGCTCTTATGATTAAAATTGATCCTGTGTAACTTAGTTCAGCTAAATTATATGATTCCAACCTTGGATTTTAATCAGAGGAGATTTTAGAACCCAGAATAAAATATATGACATCAAAAAAAAAGAAAAAGCTGAATGACAGAAGAAACATGAACATGCCAAGGGAAGTGGAAAACTTTTTTTTTTTTTTTTAATTCAGACATAGGGAAAAAAAAACATTAGCAGATTATAGGATTTTTCTAAAGACCCAAACAATCAAGATTGTTCATTCCCTCTGAACTTGAAAGTCACGTTGGATGCCAGAGCTGAGGGGACAGGCTCTTTTCAGAGAGTCCCCTTCAGATCGCATCTCCGCCTATTCAGGAAAAAGATGAGGAGAATGCCTTTCTTTCCTATTAGGTTGCCGGACGAAAGTGGGGTCATCCGGCAGTCATCCAGCCGGAAGAGATACAGGTGGTCACAGGGAGCCGTGGAAAGGCTGGAAGCAATGAGTTGGGGTTGGAAAAAGAGACCGTTCAACATTGTTGGCTTCACAGGTGAAAGAAATTTGGCTTTATAATGCCTTCTGATTGCCAAGATTTTACTGGGAATTTAAACCATTTCTAGAGCAGTTCATCAGAGAATGTACATTAAAAACAAACCAAAACTGTTCTATAACTAGTAACCTATTACATAGATGAAGCTGTTATAGGAAATGTGGTAGGAGGAAAGGCTGTATTGATTATTGACAATCTCTCTCCCTGTTGATTTGCATACCCTTTTTGATCATGTTTTGCATGTCCACGTTATTGAGAATCTAGTTCTGGATATTCTAATCCATTGATTTTTTTTTTTTTTCTTTCCATGCTAGTCATACTTACTGATTTTTAAAATAATTATTTTTATATTATAATTTTACAGTGCATTTTAATGTCTGATGTAGCTAGCCACTCCTTGGAAACCCTATACAGGGTTGCTATGAGTCAGAACCGACTCAACAGCACTTAACAACAACAACAACATAGCTAGCCTAGGTACCCCCACCATAATTATTTTCTCTTAACTTTTTATTATTTCAAGCTGACAAAAAAGTTGAAAGAATAATACAGCAAATATCTGCATCCCCCTTTCCTAGATTGACAGGAAGTGGTATTTTTAAGTGTTCCCCCTCAATGTCGTGTTTTGAGTTCCTAGAGTAACAGGACCCAGCCCTGAACACAGGAACAGACTAATAGCTTTCAAAGAATGAAGGTCTGATTGCCGGGCCCCAAAATGGCTCAGGCCTCAGGAGTCATTATCCTCATTGCACTTAATGTAGTTTACAGATAAAACCACAAAATGGGCACGACTAAGCAAGCTTCCAAGGGCTGAGCTTTCTCATTGTGTTTCAGCAGTTAATGGTCTGAGTGTGGCAGAAAGCTAGACCCAACATGGCAGTAAGAACATTCTCAGCCAGCCAGTTCTCCATCCAATTCCTTTTCTTCTGAAGAAGAATTTGGACAACACACAGTATTAACTTAGATTTCAGTTCTAAATAGAAGTGGAGAAGTAAAAAAGCACAATAGGAAAATTCAGTATTTTTGGAAGGAATTCTAGTTAATTTAATATTTGTGGTGTGTGGTGGTTTTGCAATGTGTCAACTTGGCTAAGCTGAACGGTACTTCCCAGAATTCCCTTCCCTGTTTTGGTTTCTAGTTAAGATTGACCACAAACAAAATTTGCATGAGATTTGGAAGTGGGAAGTGAAGTAGTGACTAGGCAAGTCCTCACATTTTCACATGTGTTGCACCTTTGTCAAGAGCAGTAGGTAGGCCCACAGCTCCTAGGGGGTTTTTTCCTTCATCTTTTCCAAATCTTAGGCCAGGTATGAGTATAAGCTTCTCCTTCATGTCATCTATAGCAGCAAGGGTGGAGACTTTTGAGATGAGGGGAAGCCAGTGTGGGTTCTGGTGAAGGATAGATTCAGGTTCCAGCTTATTGCTCACAGGTTCTGGTTGTCCCTGCTCTCCCCATTGAATGTTCATCTTCCTTCCCAGCCACAAGCACTGTAACTTCAGTCTCAGCGCCAGAAGAAGATAGAGATGAACGAAGCCTGCTTTGCCAGCTCCTACAATTGCTTAGGACCAACACTGGACTGGACTGTGAACCACAAGGTCAGCAGTTCAAACCCAACAGTTGCTCCTTGGAAACCCTATACAAGGTCACTATGAGTTGGAACTGACTCCACAACACTTAACAACAACAATTGCTTAGGAGTCCCTCGTGTGCAGACAGCATGTTTGGCTGCTAACTGAAAGGCTAGAAGTTCAAGTCCACCTAGAGGCATCTCAGAAGAAAAGTCTGAAGATCTAATTTCAAGCCATTGAAAACCCTAGGGAGCACGGTCCTACTTTAACACACGTGGAATCACCGTGACTCAGAATTAACTTGATGACAACTGGTATTACAGTTGCTTCAGGTCAAGTTCCTTTAACAAACCTTGTTCTACATCATTCCTGGTAGACCTACTTGTCTGATTGAACTCTGCCTGGTGACATGGTGTTACCAGTCCTTTTCCATCTCAATAGTTTACTTTTTCTTGGTAGATTCTGGGAACTTGAGTGATTCGATATTTCAAGAGAGAGCTGGATGTGCTGATTAGTACCCAATAGAACTATCTGGTCACTACGGGATTTTCAGGTGTAAGGGGCAACATGGAGTTGTCAGACAAAAACCCTGGCTGGAAATTCTACGCCTGATCTTTGGTAAGTGTGAGGGCTGGTCTGGATGGGTGCTGAAGCCCCTTTCAGCTCTAACCTTCTGTGATTCTGATACTTAATGCCTCAGCAACCATGAGGAGACTCTACCTATTGTCTCACAGCAGTGGCTCTAGATTTGGGTGGTGGCTTTTGCTGTTAGGTGACATTTAGTCAGTTCCAACCCTTAGTGACCCTATATCCAACAGAACAAAACATGGCTGCTCCTGCACCATCTCTACAATCATTGCCAGCTTTGAAAAGCGTTGTGCAGCCACTGCGTCAGTCCATCTCACTGAGGTTCTTTCTCTTTTTCCCTGACCCTCTACATGACCTAGCATGATGTCCTTCTCCAGAGACTGCTCCCTCCTGATGACATGTCCAAAGTACATGAGACTAAGTCTCACCATCCTTGCTTCTAAGTAGCATTCTGTTACTTCTTCCAAGACAGGTTTGTTCGTTCTTTTGGCCATCCATGGTATATTCAGTATTCTTCATCAACACCCTAATTAAAAGGCATCAATTCTTCTTTGATCTTATTCATTGTTCAACTTTTACATGAATATGATGAAGGAATTGAAAATATCATGGGTCAGGCACATGTTAATTCTCAAAGTGACATTTGCTTTTATAACACCATAAAGATGTCGCTTGTAGCAGATTTGCACAATGGTCTTGGAAGACACCTAGAATTCTCAACTTCCAAATGAGCTGCTTTCTTACCTTTTAATTATAAATTTCACAGGTGCCCAGTGGCTCCCTCCTCTGATGAACATGCTTTGCTTATCAACCTATCGATAAATCTGTCAACCCATATTTATGAACACTCTCAAATCAATCCCTGTACTGTTGTATCCTTATTTTATGAGCTGAAGCAGAAAATTGGTGTAAGTTGGACTTCACCCTGCTTAAATTATGTGCACATAAATATACAATGAAATTTGTGGGGGTTAAGAACAAATTTTGGTATTGATTTCATGAGAGCCTTTATAATTTATAGGTTCCATGTCTTATTTCCCTCAAAGTTTTGTCTGTTAGTAACTTTGTTTTGTTTGAAACATTATGTCTCCTGCTTCTTAGATGATAAATAACTTACAATATGAAGTATATTTTGAAGCTAGGTACCCACCCAGTGTTGTGCACAAGTAGATATCTGATAGAGTTTGTTCTGAGGACTCCATGCCCTGAGATAGAGGAGTGCACTCAGGAAATGAGTCATCTTCACTTTTCCTTAGACAGGCTAGTAATGTCA